GGAGGATTGCTTGGGCCCAGGAATTCGAGGCCAGCCCGAGTAACATAGCAAGACACCATCCCTAATTTAAAAACCAACCAAAAAAGGGCTGGGTGCAGTGGCTCATACCTGTAACCCCAGCATTTTGGGAGGCTGAGGCTAGTGGATCGCTTGAGGCCTGGAGTTAGAGACCAGACTGACCAACATGGCAAAACCCCATCTCTACTAAAAATACAACAATTAGCTGGGCATAGTGGCTCCTGCCTGTAATCCCAGCTTCTTGGGAGGCTGAGGCAGGAGAATCACATGAACCCGGGAGGCAGAAGTTGCAGTGAGCTGAGATCATGCTATTGCACTCCAGCCTGGGGCGACAGAACAAGACTCCGTCTCAAAAAAAAAAAACCCTAAAATAAATAAATAAATACAAACAAACAAACAACCCCCCCCCCAAAAAAAAAGAAAGCAGCAGCACAGTGGAAATAAAATGCTGTAATGAGAAACCTGGCTTGATGCTGTTCCTTGTCTCTTTGGGAGCATGAGGACTGCATGCCCCACTCTTTGCTGTGAAGAATTGGCAAGTGTTGGAGCCACCAAAGACAGGTAGGCTATAAAGAAGATTAAAAAAAAAAAATTATTTAAATATCCTCCATGTACCACTGAAATCCTCGGGCCTGGCCTCAGCGTGCCGCTCCAGGGCCCAAGCAGGGAGGGCCTGTGTGACGTTGGGGCAAATCACCTTACCTCTTTAAGCCTCAGTTTCTCCATCTGGAAATAAGGGGATGATGAAGGGACCTTTCTCCTGGCACTCTTGTAGGGATTGATGAAAGTAAGTGCTTCAGGTGAACTGAAGGATTTGCAGGGTTAGAAATTTCTCCCTCCCACTTCCTTCCAAGCCTACAAGGACAATCATTCCAGGCTGCTGGGGGAGGGTCCCTAGGCCCAGCCTAGCACCTCCCTGGCCACCTACACTCTCACACCTTCTTCTCCACCTCCTTCACCTGGCCCCGGTGGGAGCTGGAAGGGTCGCCTCATCTAGGCTGAGCCCTTTGGAGCAATTTATGGGCCTATAGTCCCATCCTTCCCAGTTCCTCCCAGCTGGGAGGCTCTCATCTGCCCGCCAACCCCCAGCACCTCTGTGTTTCATGCCCATCGAGATTTAGGGTTCCACCATTTTCCTGAAGGCAAATTGGGCCGAGGGGAATTTTAATGCAGCTTTATCGGCTATATCACGCTCACTTTACTTGGCAGGGAAATTGCCGGTGGGGGGTTGGACAAATGCTTGGAACAGGCGATAAACTCCCAACATCTTTATTCCCTGCAAGAAGGGGCTGCGGGCCCTGAAGACCCCGGGGAAGCCTTGAGTTCAGATGGCTTGAAACTCCCTATCATCCACATCTAAACCTTCCAAAGGATCCAGAACTTCTCCAGGTAGGAAACTCATTCATTCATTCAGTTATTCATTTATGTAACTCATTCATTCATTCATTTGTATGCTCCTTCAACAGGTATTTAACCAGTGCCTGCCCTAGGCCAAGCCCTGGGGGTCTAGTTATAAAAAGAACATTGCTCCTGCCCTCTTGGAGCTCACATTCCTAAGGGCAACGGGATTCCCTTGTCTCAGGAAGCCCAGGAGGCTGTGAGAGCTGGAAGAAGCAGTTGGCCCCACCAGGGAAGTCCCGGAAGGCTGTCTGGTGTTGGTGATGATCATGGTGGTGGGCATGTAAGTAAGCAGCTGAAGGCCAAGAAGGAGCATCTAAGTCCAGGAAGGCTTCCTGGTGGTGGTGATGATGCTGGTGGTGGTGGGGAATATAAGCTGAGTGACTGAAGGGCAAGAAGGAACACCCAAGGCTTTGGATGACGGTAAGAACTGTGTTCTAAGGGTGGTGGGGAGTCATTAAGGAAGTGGAAAGGAAGTCAGCTGTGAGGAGGGAGGGGTCAGAGCGGACACAGGGAGGTAAGTGAGGAGGCCGCTGCCCTGTCCAGGAGACAAGAGAGGACTGGGAATGGAGTGAAGTGGTCACACTTGGAAAATTTAAGGGGTGGTATCCACAGGACCTGGACTGGGGCAGAGGGTTTGTGGCTTGGTGGGTGTCAGTAGGGTGGGGGTCCTGGACCTCAGACCATCGGGGATGGTAAAGAACAGTTGCGCTGGGCACACTCTTACTGCATTTGTTTTTCTTTGGCTACCCTGAGTCAGAGGTGAAAAATCTCTTGTATATCAGATAGGCGGCCTTGGTGTGCCCGGGGGTGGACCCCAGCTCCCAGTGAGATGGGTTCCCTTGCAGCAAAAGCCCCACCCTCCCACTCCAGGCAGAGGGCTGGGGGCATGGGAGTCCATGACCTGGGGTGGGGCAGCAGAGCCCTTGGGGGCAGAGGTGAGGGAGGGGTGACCTGTCTCCTGTCTGTCAGCCCAGCCCTCTGGTTTGATCTGGGGCCCTCTGTGTGTTCTTTCATATAAGGAAGGCCTTGAGTTTCTCTCTGCAATGCTCACTCCCTCCTTCCTGCCCTCCTTCCGTCCATCCACTCAATCCTGATTTTTGGAGAGCCCACTATGTTACAGGCACAGTTTTAGGCACTGGGGATACAGCACAGGATGAATCAGGCGAAAATCCCAGCACTGACCTCATGGAGCTTACACTAGAGCAGAAGGATGACAAAGGATGAACAGAGCAGGCTAAAATATATAATATGCCAGAATAACAATTAAAATAAGACAGAGGCAGCAAAAGAGAGCATTGGGGTAGTCAGTGCCCCCACTGAACTGAGATCCTGAATTACTTCATACCATTTCCACACCTGCCCTGTACTTTATGGATACACTACCTACGTGTGTATCCATAAAAGGTATACAGTGTGGCTTGGCATGTTTTAAAACTTTCTATAAATGCAAGCATCCCATATGCATATTCTGTGATTGCTTTTTTGGCTCGACATCCTATTTTGAGACTGATCCTTGTTGATACGTGACGCTCCAGTTGACACACTGTCACCGCGATAGACTATTCCGCAGTATGAATATGTCACTACTCATTGAGTCATCTTTCCGGTGATGGACACTTAGGTTGTTTCCAATTTTTTTTTTCTCTTACCACCCAAGCTGTAGGAACTTTCTTGTACCAGTCGACACCCCTGGACTCCAGTGTTTTCTAAAAGAAAAGCACCTGGTGACGGAAAGCCGATAATATCTGTCAAATTGCCCAACATGGTCTACAATGACAATGATGATGATGATGAAAAAAAAAAAAAAGCTCCCGGGGACTGAGGGCTTCCTTTATGTAGGATAATTCCAGTCACATTAGCTCACCACCTCCTTTCCATCCTCACGCACTAAAAGGTAGACTCCAGGGTTGTTCTCACATAGCAGACACAGGCCCGGAGAACAGCGAGGTTAAGCAGGTTCCCTGAGGCCACTCGACTAGGAAGGGACAGCCGGAATGCCAACCTGGACCCTCTGAGCGTAGCCACTGCACTGCCTGGTCTCTCTCCACAGCTCTGCTCCATCAGCGTGGTCTCATTATACCCCTTAAACACCCTCAGCATGGTCCTGCCTCTCAGCATTCGCACCAGCTGTTCCCTCTGTCCAGAATGCTTTTCCAGTCTCATCTCCAAGGCTGCCTCTCAGACCCTTCCTGGTTCCTTTCCTCTTTTCTTTTCTTTTTTTTTTTTTTTTTTTTTTTTTTTTTTTTTTTTTTGAGATAGGGTCTTGCTCTGTCTCTCAGTGTAGTCGTGATCATAGCTCAATACAGCTTCGACCTCCCTGGGCTCAAGCGATCGTCCCATCTCAGCCTCCTGAATAGCCAGGACTGCAGGCATGCACCACCATGCTTGGCCAATTTTTTGATTTTTTGTAGAGACCGGGTTTCACCATGTTGCCCAGGCTGGTCTTCAACTCCTAGGCTCAAGTGATCCACCCGCCTCAGCCTCCCAAAGTGCTGGGATGACAGGTGTGAGCCACTGTGTCCCACCTCTGGGCAGTTTCTTGATCTCGTTTATGTCTGTAACCTAGCCTAGCATGGCACAGGCTATTGTAGATACTCAGTAAGTGATGCTTTGACAGAGTATTTGCACCAGGCCAGGCTCTGGGCTGAGTGCTTTGTAGATACAAGCTCATTTCACCTTCACAATGATCCCTTGAAGTGGGAAGATGGCTTTCATTATACCCCAAGGAGGAAGAGGAGGAAGAGGTGCGGCAGAGGCATTAAGTAACTTGCCCAGCGTACGCAACAAGGGAAAGCAGAGGCCGGATTTGGAGCCAGGACTTGAGCATCGCAGAACTCACACATCAGAGTTTGGTGATGACGCCTTTATTTCACAAGAGGGGAAACTGAGGCTCAGAGAGGGACCAGGACTTGCCCAGGATCACCCAGCGAGTTGGTAGCAGATAAGGTCAAGCTCTTGTAATCTCCTGGACTCCCCAGGCCACTGTGACCTTGGCCACGCTGGCTTGGTATCCAGGGCCCCATCAGAATGAGGGTGACATGTGCCGCATCTCTCTGTCCACATTAGGGGCCGGTGGCCAAGGATGTGGCTGAGAAGGTAAAGTGAGAAGCGTGGATCAGAGATGTGTCTGTCACTGTGACGGGACGCTCAAGGCAGATCCATTATTCAGGTCATCAGGCTGGAGCCACCAGGCAGGCGAGGGAGGCCTGCTGCAGCCGGACGGTCAGCTGGCAGGGCCGAGGGGGGGCTGCAGGTCCCTGGGAGCTGTCACCGCTGACTGATGGATGGGGACAGCTTCCAGTCGCCGGCCATCCCCGCCACGAGCCCCGTGGCCATCTCTGCGGCCGCCCACGCTGGCCTCCCGCCCAGCGCCTTGCTTTGAACGTCCACAAGGCCTTTTGTTCCCGCAGCAGGAGCTGGGCAGGCAGCGTTGAGGGGCCCCTTACAGAGGAAGGAGCCGCCTGCTGGGGCTTCCCCCTGCCCTCCACCCCTGCTGTGTTCCTCTAATTACCTGTGGGCAGGAGGGGGCCGGCTGAGGGGTCCAGCTGAGCCCTGAGGAATCTGCTGGGGGAGGGGGTGGTGACGGTGGCGAGGCCAGAGAGCCCTCAAATTCCAACCCGAAGAGACGATGGGGACACGCTCCTCCCGATCACAGATTGGAAACTGAGGCCCAGAGAGGGCAACTGCCTTGCTTGAGGTCACATAGCGAGTTAGAAGTAGGGCTTGGTCTGGACCCAGGGGCGTTTTGACTCCCCAAGGTAAGAAGTGGGAAGAGAACCGGTGCTTAATAATTTTGAACACCTACTTGACACCTGCTCTCTTATTGAATCAGGTCCTTCACTTCCCAGCTCCAGTCCTCAGGCAGGTCAATTTCCTCTCTCAGCCCTGGTTTCTTCATCTGTGCAACACACTTATTTACCAAGGACCTCTTCTATTCAAGACCATGAAGAGACATAAATTAGACATAGTCCCTAGCCTCAAGGAGCCCACCAATAGAGGGAGTCTGCAGATGGCTTGGCACATGTGGTAAGTGCTGAGGTGCACGGGCAGAGATGGCTGTGGAGCCTCAGAGGGGACAGGAGGGGCCCACGGAGGGCACAGTGCCTGAGGATTTTATCCAGGGAGCAATGGGGAGCTGTGCATGACTTTGAAGAGCTGCAGATGATCTCCTGGCTGTGAGGAGCCATTGGAGGAGCTGAGGCAGAGGCAGGGGGTAGCCAGGAGTCTACTGCAAAGGTCCAGGCGAGAGGTGATGAGGGCTAGGTCAAGCGGCGGTCCCTGAACCTTCACACAGGCTGGACTTTGAGCCAGTGGGCCTTGGACTCTTAGTGTAGCTGCTTTTTGGCGGTTCCTTAAAATGCTAAACATAGATTTGCCATATGACCCAGCAATACCACTCCTGGGAATATGCCCAAAGGAATTGTAAACAGAGACTTGAACAGATACTTGTACACCCATGCTTGTAGCTGCATTATTCATAGTAGGCAAGCTGTGGAAACAGCCCAGGTGCCTATCTACGGATAAATGGATAAACAAAATGTGGCATATCCATACAATGGAATCTTGTTCAGCCATATAAAGGAATGAAGTTCTGATACATGCTACAACATGAATGTACCTTGAAAACATTATGCTAAGTGAAATAAGCCAGACACAGAAGGACAAATATTGCATGATTCCACTCATGTGAAATATCTACAATAGGCAAATTCATACAGACAGAAAGTGGTTAATAGGGGGCAGGGGGAGGGGGAAATAGGAGAGTTACTGCTTAACAGGTACAGAGTTTCTTTTTGGGGTGATAAAAAAGTTTTAGAAATAGATAGTTGTGGCTGGGCACGGTGGCTCATGCCTGTAATCCCTGTACTTCGGGAGGCAGAGGCAGGTGGATCACATGAGCCCAGGAGTTCGAGATCAGCCTGGGCAACACGGCAAAACCCTGTCTCTAAAAAAAAAATACAAAAATTAGCTGGGCATGGTGGTGTATGCCTGTATCCCAGCTACTTGGTAAGCTGAGGTGGGAATATTGCTTTAGCCTGGGAGGTGGAGGTTGCACTGAGCTGAGATCACGCCACTGCACTCTAGCCTGGCTGACAGAGTGAGACCCTGTGTCAAAAAAAAAAAAAAAAAAAAAAGAGATTGTGGTGATGGTTGTATGACATTATGAATATGAATGTTCTTAATGCCACTGAATTGTTCATTGTATAATGCATTGAAATTGATTTAATGCATTGCATTTAAATAGGTGAGTTGTATGCTATGTGAATTATATCTCAATGAAGCTAAATTTAAAAAACAGGGCCGGGCATTACGACTCAATCCTGTAATCCCAGCACTTTGGGAGGCCAAGGCAGGTGAATCGCTTGAGATCATGAGTTCGAGACTAGCCTGAGCAACATGGCAAAACCCCATCCCTAAAAAAATACAAAAATTAGCCAGGTTTGGTGGCACACACCTGTAGTCCCAGCTACTTGGGAGGCTGAGGCAAGAGGATTGCTTGAACCTGGGAGGTGGAGGTTGCAGTGAGCCCAGTGAGCCTGGGCGATAGAGCCAGACCTTGTCTCAAAAGAAGAAAAACAAAAACAAAACAAAACAAAAAACCAAATGAGTGGAGTTCATGGGTCGGAGTCCTGAGGCCCTCAGTAAAATCGGAAGAAGGGAAAGTCACCTTAGGGGAGATGAAGGCCACGGTGCATCTGATTTTGCAAATCATGACTGGCTGCCCATGTCCCTTCCCTGTGAACATTTTCCCTTTTGGGAGATTTGAGCCCCACTCCTAGGCTGACCAGCTGTGTGCCCTTTGGTGAGCTGCACAACCTCTCTGAGCCTCAGTTGTCTCATCTATATATCAATCTATTTGCTTCAGGCTAACCATTTGCTGGGCACAGGTTGCTGGGACATTTGCTCTGAATCTTTCTTTCAGTCCTCGCCCTATTTGAAAGGAGAACACAGGGGCCCAGGGAGGGTGGGAGCCTTGACAGAAGCTCCTAGAGAGAGTGGCTGAGACAACCTGAGAGCTTGGCCTGAGGCTGGCCCAGGGTTTGCCTCAGCCCTCATCTCCCATTGGCCCTGAGAACTCCTTGCCCAGCCCCGCTCCCCTCCCCTTTGCGTCCGTTTGGGGCTGGTCACGGATTTTGTTCCTTCTGCAAATGATCTCCATGTGTCAGGGATTGGGTTTCCCCTCGTCTGGCCCTGTCCCTCTTGGGACCCCAGGCCCCCCACGGGCTGAGGCAGCCGGACGGGGCCTCCCCAGCAGCTCCATGGCTTATTCTGACCCTGCGATGGGGCCCAGGCAGGATGGGGCCTGGGCATCTGGTTTAACCATCAGAGCTGGGGCTTGTTTCGGTTTTAATGACCCATGGAGCCCTCGGGAGAGGGAGAGGGAGCCGACTGGCAAACGGGGTGCAGAGACGCAGCAGGGCCGATGGGAGAGCGGAACTGAACAAACAAATACCGGAGCGTTAATGGGGGACTCTGCGGCCGAGAAATCACACTCACACCCATGCACGTGTGTAAGCATACGCACGCACACATGCTGATGGAAAAGCCACCTTTCACACACCTACTTGCAGACATTCCCGCCCCCTTTGCTCCAGCCATCTAAATGTCATGCTGGTCTCCGTACATTCTCAGTGCCGTTCAGCCCCTCGGCCTTTGCCTAGGCCGGCTCCTCCACCTGGAATGCCATCCCTGCAAATGCCAGTCCTGAGGTTTGCGATGCCCATGCTTCAGGGAACCCTTCCCTGATCCCACCTCCCGACCACCAGAGGGGGTGCCCCTCACCCTCAGGCCTGTGGCTGGGGGAGAAGCTGCAGACAAGCTTCTGTTTGGCTGCGCGGGTGCCCTGTGGTCTTGGGCAAGTCCCTTCCCCTCCTCGGAGCCTGAGTTCCCAGTGCTCCACCTGGAAAAAAGCAACTCTACACCTCCTGCCTTCCTGGGTTCTCGCAACCGCCTTACTGTGATTGTCCCCATTTCGAGGCTGAGAAAAGAGAGGTTCAGAGAGGTTTAGTAAGTAGTCCAAGGTCACCCAGCTGGTTAGTAGACTGGGTGAAACCCCAGTACCTATGCCTTCCCCCACTTCTGTTGCTGAGAACGGTCAGGTCAACCCAGGAGTCAGACAGACCTGTGCCGACTGCCCCTTGGGCAGAGTCAACTGGGCCCTCATTGTTTCTCGGCTCCCTCTTCATTGCTATTCTGACAGGGGCATGTGATTTACAAGAGCTAGTTTGCTCCTGGGCCAGCCAGGGGGCCATGAGCACTTGCCAATCCCTCTCCGGGCCTCAGCCTCCTCATCTGCAGGTGGAGAACAGTGTTCCTGCTCTCTTGACCCTGCCTGCCATGCTGGGTGGAAGCTGGGGTGGGAATAGGTGCTTTCAGTTCTCAGCAGAGGAAACTGAGGCTCAGGAAGGCCAGGGCAGGGCTGGGATTCAAACCCATGCTTTGGACTTCATGCCTGGCTTTGCCCATTGACCCCAAACTGCCTACTGCCTCTAACTGGCAGGTGCAAACCAAGCCTGGGGGGTGCCATCCACCTCGTTAACCCCCTTACTGATCCGGGCTTTGCATGGTTTATCAGAAGCAGCATGAGGGCTGGGAGGGTTTGGAGAGGTGGTCTGGGGAGGGAAAGACTCACTGGGAACTTGGGGCTCCATGAATCTTTCTGTGCAGCTCCCAAGTTCATTTCATCTGTCAAATGGGCATACTATTAGTGCCTGCTTTGTAGGTGTTGGTGAGGATAAAGAGGAGTTAGTGGTAAAATACGCCCAGTGCTGAGAATGGTGCCTGGCCTATCCACGCTCCATGTAAGTGCTGACTCGTTGCCAGCATCAACTGTTAGCATTATTTATTAATCATTGGCTTGGAAGGGCGTCTGTTAGGTACCGGGGTTGCCTTTTTAGCAAAGACTTAGTTCATTGTTACAAGGACTTGGGGTTGAGTCAGGGTAGGGCAATGGCCTTGGCCTCCCCACACCTCAGTTCCTGCATCTGTGAAATGAAGATGATATCCCCAGCCTCCCTCACCCATCTTTTGCAAACATAGTCTCGAGCTGTTCCAAGCTGCCGCATGCCAGGTCTGTTCAGAGGCCCACACAGGTCTCTTAGCTCATCTCTGACAGCGAGTCTCCACCCCAGGGCCCAGGGAGGCCCAGCAGGCCCAGGAGGCCAGCTTTTCCAGGGTGGGTGGTGGGTACTATTAGTCTTCAATGCCTGGTTTCTCTACCTGCAGGGCTGGCTACGGCCAGGCTGATCCTCCATCTAGACTGAAAATACCCGTGCAAATCCCTCTTGTAAAATCCTCAGTCCCCTCCCATGGGGCCTCCTGGGGACATGCCAGAGGCTAAAATAAGACCTGAAGTCAGCAGAGGCCTGTCCCTGGCTGCCACCTGATTCTACCAGTCCCTCAGGGACTTGGTTCTCCTGGCACAGACGGATTCTGAAATGACTGTCAACAGGCAAGTGCAAGGCTGAGCCATCTCCAATCCCCGAGGAGTTTTAGGATGCAGATTCCCTGGCCTGACTCCGTGAGGTAGAGCCAGTGGCTTGCGGTGGGGCCCAGGGAATCTGTGTTTTACAAAGTTCCCAGGAGGTTGTGCTGACAGCTAGTGTTGGATGTCCATGTTCCACTGCCCTTCATATTGACTTATGCTTGCTTATGCATGCTTCTGTCTCCCTTTCAGTGGTGCTGGGAGCCTCTGAGGGCAGGGCTGGGTTTTCTATCTGTCTGAGCAAATGCTGGGTGAAATGATGAATGAATGAATGAATGGACAAATGAATGAGTGGATAACCGAGTCCCTGGAGAATTTTGGACCTTCCTTGCCACTAATGGGGGTGAGAGCTTTGGGGCTGATATTCCCCTGGATACCTGAGCTCAGTTTAGAGGCAGGAAGAGGCATTTTTTCAGCTTTCTTGGAGCCCCCTCCTCCAGGCAGTCTTCCCTGATGCCTTCCCCATTTGCTGTGCCCCACATCCCCTACTTCCTCACCCATCTCATGCCCTTCCCTTGTTTGTTTCCCTCTCCCCAGGACCCACCTTATGCCTGACACAGAATGCTATCAGTAACTGCTGAATGACCAAGCAGATGAATGGATGAAGTATCCATAAGACCAAATCTCTCCCTGGCTTTGCCTTCCAATGAAAGGAAGTCTTGGAACAAGATGCCCCTCTCTTGCCACACACACTCTGCCTCCCCCACCTTTGTTTTTAATCCAGTACTGCTGCATTTTTCAAGTTCTCTCCATTTTCTCCGGCCACCAAGCCTTTGCATGTGCTGTTCCTTCTACCTGAAACTCCCTCTGCCCTTGCTAATTCCTCCTTCTCCACGTCTTTGCTTCAATGTTTTGGCTGTGAGTTGCCCTGATTGTTCCCCCAAAGCCCCATGTTCTCACCTAAGTCACCACCTTCCTTCCTACTTGAAGTGTGAGCTCCTTGATGCAGAGGCCGTATCAACTTCATTTCTGCTTCTCCAGCACCCAAGCCGGGAACGTTTGTTGAATGAATACATAACCTGTTAAAAAGCCTCAGCTGTGCTTTCTAAAAATATTGGTTCTAAATCCCAGTGTGGCTGGGGGACCCAGGCTGAGGATCCCGGAGACGGGTGAGGCGTGGAGGATGCAAATGTGTCTCTAGGGCAGGGCCTTTGACAGGTCCTGCCAGGCCTGGAAATGCTGGCCCATCGCCCAGGACCAGAGACCACTTTTCCACTGAGCAGTGGCTCTCTGGCTTGAGGCTGCACTGACATTCCCAGCGCCAAGCTGTCCATCTCTCCCTGAGTTCAGAGCGGAACTGAACTGGCTGGAAGTCAGGTAGTGAGGGGTGGAAAAGCAGAGGATGAGCCTGCTCTATGAAGCTCCAAAGGGAGGCTGGAGAGAGAGAGAGTTCTGGGCTGGGCCCCCACCTGCCCTTGAAACCTGGAGGAGCAGCACACAGGAAAAGCTCCTGGTAACTTCTCAGGCCCATGTGAATGTCAGGGGTTATGATTATCATCAGGTGACCAGTTCTCACGGCCTGACCATCTTTCTGAGTGATGACGATGATGGTGGTATCTCCATTGATTGACAGCTCATGAGTGCCTAGTCTAGGGCTGAATGCTGGGGAGGTGGAGAAAAAGAATAACACACTGACCACACTGATTGAGCATCTTGAACGTGCTGGGCACTCTTAATTGCACTTTCTATATGACCTCATTTAAACCTCTTGAGAACCCAGTATACTGATGAGGCAACTGAGGCCATAAGAGGCTAAGAGAGTCTCTTAAGGTCACAGAGCTGGGAACAGACAGAGGCGGGATTTGTCTCAGGGCCTCTGTGCCTCTGACCACGATAATATGTGTTGTCTAGGTTGGTCACAGCCCCTGCATCGAGGGGGCCGGGCACTCCCACACTAAACTCTTAAGATCCTGCAGCTCTTTCATTCCAACAGGTGCATGTACGCCTTCATGTCTTCTCTCACACTTATTCAATCAACAAACATTTGTTTAGTACCTACTACAAGCCAGGACTGTTCTTGGCATTGGGGTATGGACAAAAGCAGCCCAAGCAGAGAAGATGACTTTTGAGGTTAGTTATACTCTGGTACGTGCCTGACGGTAAAGACCAGGTAAATGCACTCACCGTGTGTGTGTGTGTGTGTGTGTGTGTGTGTACTTGTGCAAAATCAGGGAAGGCTTCCTGGAGGAAGGGAAGTTGAAATAGGGACCTGAAGGAGGAATGGGAGAGAGAGGGAGCTGGTGAGGGTGCAGCGGCAGGGGGACAGGAGAAGCTTCCATGGGCCGGATGATTGAGTTCGTCCCACCCCCAGGTCTTCGCTTGGTGTGTTCCTCTGTCTGTGACACTTTTCTCTCTTCTTGGTATCACTCCCGCTTCCTTTCCAAGTCTCAGCTGAGACATTGCCTCCTCCAGGAAGCCTTCCTGATGGTCCCTCAACTGGGTCAGAGACATCCTCTAGGTCCCTACAACTCCCTGTGCCACCTGAATTGCTTACTAGGCTGTGAGTTCCCAGAGGGCATGGTCGGGTCTGGCTCCTGTCAGTGCAAAGGGGGTGCCCGGTGAGTAACTGAATAAATGAGGGAGTGGGTGAAGCTGCTCCCCACTCTGCTGTGCTGAGGGTGAAGGCTACAGACCCTGGTGCCTGCCCAAGGGATCCACAGATGCAACTCCCTTCTGCCCCCAAATGGCCCCACCCAGGGAATTCCCTCAGACCCAGCTGATGATCCCATGTGGACCCACATAGGACCGGGCAGGGGAATCGATCCCATCTTTCAGGGCCAGGCTGCATTCAGTGTGCCAACGGCTTTTGATCTGATCTTCTCTTTGGCTGTTTAAAACTTCTGCCAGGATACACACATATGTTCCCACAAAGACACACCCAGACACAGACACGTGCACAGGTAAACACACCCACAGACATGGACACACACACAGGCACACGCACCCACAGACGTGGACACACACACAGGCACATGCACCCACAGACGTGGACATCCGCACAGGCACATGCACCCACAGACGTGGACACACACACAGGCACACACACCCACAGATGTGGACATGCGCACAGGTACCCCTACCACAGACGCGGACATGCGCACAGGCACGCGCACCCACAGACGCGGACACGCGCACAGGCACACAACCCCATACAGACATGGACACACATGAACACATATTCAGACAAATACACATGACACACACCCAGAGACACACATGTGGCCATGCACACCGACACATATGGATGCATATACATGGAAACACACAGACATGCACAGACACACATGGGCACACACACAATACACACACACAAATACACACATTTCTGAACTCTCAAGCAGGAGGGCCACCAATATGTCTTCCCCAAGGTTATTGTGAGGATTAAATGAGCCAAAGTGGAGAAAGTCCAGCTTCGCGCAGGCTCTGAGTAGGTGCTCAAGGCCGGTGTCATGGGCATGGGACCCCTGCAGTCATGCAGGACCTTGAGCCCAGAAGGGCCCACGCTTGGTTTAATGCTCTCCTGTCACCATGTTGAAATCCGTAATATTTGAACAAGAGGCTCCGCATTGTTATTGTGCGAGTCCTGTGAGTTAGGAGTTGGCATTGTGTGTGTTCCTAGTTTAACTGGCAGCCTGGAAACACCGAGGGAGAGTCCATATGAAGCCTGACTTTTGTAGGGTTGTTTGAAAGGCAATGAGGCCAGCCAGGAAGGGTGCAGAACGCCAGGCTTGGAGGCTGGGGCTGGGAAGCCCTGGCAGCCTAGACATTGCAGATGGGTTTGTAGCAAGCACCTTGTAGATTCAGAGCAACAAAAAGGTGAGTTCATGAGCAAAGAGGGTGGGATCCCACCCTGGATCCCAGTCCTGGCTTTGCCAGCGCCCCTGATGAGTGGCTGCACCTTGCTGTGCCTCAGTTGTCCCCATCTCTGCAGCAGGCACTACCAGTGGATGGACCAGTCTGGACACTAGGATCCCATCCCTGCTCCGGCTGTCCATCTCCTCAATCCAGAGACTGAGACCTGATGACATCTACTTCATTAATCCACTCTCAGCATCTTCTCCCCAATTCAGCTGAGCAGAGATCAGCTGGTTGGCTGGAAGGTTGGTTATCTGGTGCGGAGCAGGTGGAGGGGCCGCACTCAGGGCCGACCGGCCGCCTGGTTTGTATTTTTAACACCCGGCTCTCGGGCAGTGACAAGGTGTCTGCTAAGTGAGGTAATAGGCAATTGAGTGGGTTCCGCTTTGCCGAGGGCCCTCATAAATCATGTCTGTCAGGGGCCTGTGTCATAGTCCAGGGCAGCGCTGCGTGTCGGCAATTAGTCAGCCTGTGCCCGGTGGCTGGACTGCAGCCCTCTAGTCCAGCAGCACGGCCCTGGCAGGGCCTGAGGGGGGCTTTGGCCTCCACCCCTCCTCTCTGTCCTCCTTCTCCAGCTCAGCCTCAGACAGATAAGGAGGGACCGACAAGGAGCAGGAGTAGTCCTGGGGCTGCTCAGGAGGCTTTGGGTGGCCTTGGCAAGTGGCTTTCTGTCTCTGGGCCTCAGTTTCCTCATCTGCAAAGTGGGTACAATAATGACTGCTTGAGGACTAATGAGTGAAAGTGACAAGGAAAGCACACATCTTAAGGTAAGGAAGCATCGGTGAGTGATAGTGATGATTGAGGATGTTACTAAACGCTCTGACGGCGCCTGTGTGGTGCCAGCACTGATTATTCTAAGTGCTTTGCATGTATTCACTCGCAGAGTCTCCATGCCTATTCCTCTTCAAACCATCCTTCCCTACTTCCAATGCTTCCTTTACGGAGGGGACCCATGGTAAGGGCTCAGATTCAAGCATATTTCTAGGTGCTGTCACCATAGGTGATTTTTATCTTATTATTTTTACATCATTTTGTTCTTCTAAATTTATCTTTCACCAGGTGTAATACCAAGGCTGGAGTAGAGAAACTCCCTAAGCAGGGAGGCTTAGGCTTGAGGTCTACACGGAACGGCGCTGCTGGGCCTGGGTACTCCAAGGAAGATGGGAGGCAAAGACCCCAAGTCCTTTGTTAAATACATATGCTGGCCCAGAGGAGGAAAAATGCCACATGGAGTCACACGCACACACACACACACACACACACAGGCATGCATACTCACATATACACACACTCACATACACACACTAAAATACACACTAACATACACACATATACACACATTCATATATACACACACTCACATACACACATGCATACTCACATCTACATACACACCAAGCCACCAACACATACACACTAAAATACACACGAAAATTACGCAAACATAACATATACATTACAACATGCATATAATATATCCAATTTACATATACACGCATGCAGTCACATATACACACACTCACATGTATACCACTCACATACACACACTAAAACACACTAACACTACCACACATCATATACACATTTATAATACACACACTCACATACACACCAATGCCATCACGCACATCTACATACACACTCATATCTACACACATACACACTAAAATACACACTGAAATATACGCAAACATACATATACATGCAAACATGCATATATACATATATTTACATATACACGCATGCAGTCACATATACACACACGTATACACACTCACATACACACACTAAAATACACATTCAAATATACACACACTAACATATACACACAGTAACGTATACACACATGCACACTCGCACATATACATACACACACTCACATGTACACATATATTCACATATACACACACCCCACAGGCACACTCCCTTCCAGGCCAACTTACAAGAGCTTAGAAACCGAGACCCCCGCACACCTCCCATTTTGCAAATGATTCTTAACACCTACTGCGTGACTGGCATGGGAATACAGAATCATCCAGATACAGAGAAATCCCCACCTCAGGCACATGGACCCTCTGAAACCCGCATCATTGCAAACAGAGTCTTACGCCCACAGCCCCCCCAAAAAAACA